CAGAATGAGTCCAGGAAGATCATACGTATAAAAATCTTTTGCTTCAGAAACATGAAATGCCAATGATAATTATTCCTCTTTTACAAGATATTTGTCTACTAAAATGAATAAATTACAAAAAAGTCACACCCAACAATGTGTGTTAATCACGCTGTCATTACTGATAATATTATACCAAGATTTTCAATTTTTTTTTAATTATACAAGGAATCCCCTATTTCTAAAGTAGATGCTTTTGTTAGAGAAATGGCTGCGTTATCGTCAATAAAAGGAATATATTAATTCTTTTAGTCGTACGGCCCACCTTATAATGTACTATACCACATAGAGACCACTGTTAAAAAAAGAGTGCCCCTGCCTGATATAGACTGGTTAGTGTTTATCTATAGACACAGATATAAACCATAGAAAATTGTTATATACTTAACTTAAAACAAGATAGATATATCCAACATAATGTATGTGAGTATAGCTTGCTTAATAAAAGAGATAGGCTTTAGGGCACCTCGAGATGGTGTAATGGTTAGCAAGCTTGTCTCGCTAGAACAATTACGACTGAGTAGTGAGTATGATCCTCACTGGGTGCCCCATACTTTCGGCCTTGTGCCACATCTAAGCTACGCTTGGAAAATCACTATATGAGATAGATTTTATAGCTACTAAGAACATTTATTTATCTATCGACACAAGTATAACCGCAGCCAATATATAGACCAGTGATGGACAAACTGTGGCCGCGTGCCACGGGCGACTCGATTGGCTTTCTGAATGGCACTCTTTATTTCATGAGGAAAAAAACTTTTATTAAAAATGTTGTTTGTTTCTTTTCGTTCTCACTTGTTCACTCACACACTCTCTCAAGCATAACAACATATATAAACAATGATTAAGTACAATGTTTCTTGGATTTTGCAACTTTTTGTTGAAGGTGACGTTATCAGCATTTTGAACCATTGGTGATTTTCACTAAGGAAGATCATACGTGTAAACATCTTTTTGCTTCAGAAACAGGAAACGTCACTAGAGAATAAGTATACTTCTTTTACAAATATTTTTGTATACTCAAATGAATAAATTACAAATAAATAACACGCATCAGTGTGTGTTAATCACTTTGTCATCAGTGATAATTTTATATCAGGACTTTAGTTTTGTTTTCTTTTTTTACATATAGAAGGGATCTTTTTTTTTCAAAGAAGGAAAATAGATTTTCCACCATTTCTATGGCGGATACTGATGCGTATCGTCTTTTGTTGGGAAAATGGCTGCGGTCTATTTAATGAAAAAATACATTTTTGTAGTGCGCACAGCCGTAGCATGTACTGTATCAAATGCGGCCTATTCATTTTTCACTCCAAGCAAAGCGGCAAAGCCACTAATTTACAAGGGATTGCTGGGCGAGGAAGAATTAGAAAACAGAAACATTACTAATGAATGAGAACTATAGAAGTGTAATCAGTAGATGACGATTGACATTGCATTTAAATCTTTGAAGATCATAGTCGATTGGAAAGCAAGAAGCCGGAAGAGAATTCTACAAGCGAAAATTGATCGAGAGCAATAAATGTGTAATCAGGAGAACAGTAGATAGCAATTGACATTGCATTTAACTTTTTGAAGATCAAATTGGCTGGAAAGCATGGAGCCAGAAGTGGGTTCCACAGGCGAGAAGTGTGAAAAAATAAACTGTGATCATAGAACTTACTGTTACATCTAGTCAACTCAACTGTAAATTCATGGTACCTTGTTGCCAGTCTAGTACTGCGCTTAAATTCGTAAATTCTAGGTACTATTAAGAAGAGCTCGCCCGGATAGTTACCATGAAATTACTTATAGAAAAGATACAGAGAATGAACTTTATGATAGCAGAGAAGTGAGTGAAATGCCAGGTCAGAACCAATAATATTGCTGATTTTCCTTTGGATTTTATCAAGGAGCTCTAGATAGATAGCAGGAGCACCCGGCCATACGTGGCGACAATATTCTAATCATGGACGAATGGTAGACATATTGATATGTACGATAGTTTCAGGTGAGAAATATTGTCTGGCACGACAAAGTGACTCAACTTTTGCTGTTTACATGGTCTGATTTAATGTCAAAATGATCTAGTCAATATGAAACTACTGACCATGGTGATACTGTCGCGTTTAAATTAATGTTCCATGGCGTAAAAATTAATGAGAGATTTTTCTTTAATAATGTTCAAGACTCAAGATCACTCGAGTGGGGATTATTGAAGGAGTTTTTTGCGTGAGCGGTAAGTGTAACAGGTAACGGGCAGAGTTTATGTGCCGATGTGCAAAAGATGACGATTAGCCATAGACTTGAACAGGTTAATATTGCAGTCGTCAGAGAAAGATATCCTTAGGAGTCGATTCCATAAAGTAGTGATTCGTGAGAGTAAGCGGTTCGAGTGGAACTTACTCCTTACGAATGGAATACACACGGCAAAGATGAAGCACTGTATTACCAAATATTGATGTATTTTAATACACTTGTCTAGACAACCCTGGTAACCATGGGATTGCAACCGCTGTTAAATCGCTATTCTCTTTAGTTTATTTACGGGGACCAAATAGCCACTACAGAAGTAAAGTGGCGTGTACAGAAAATACGTTTACTTTGAGACAGTCATGGCTTGTGTGTGTGGGTTTGTGTGTGTGTGTAAAATTTATGAAAGAAATATTAATTAATCATGAATAGAAGGCTGTTAACATGTGAGCAACGACGAAGTTTTAGAGAAAATAGAAACACAAAAGGAAACTTATTCTTGACAGCAATTGAAATTTCTCGGGTACATAATGCTTCTAAAATCTAGACACTCACAGGAGAGATTGAAGGCAAGACGGACAAATGAATACAATGCATACAGTGAGCTTCAGTAGATTGATGGCGGAACAAGGTTTAGGAGAAATAATAAAAAGACAAAATTTATTAAGAGCCATGAAGGACAGGAAATTGTGGAGAGTCATGATCGCCTACGTACCAAAGGGTCCCGGCGCATAAAGAAAAATGAAGGTTACTGAAATATAACTGATCCGACCTATTTAGCAAATGACAATTCTTTTTGAATCACTTCTTGGTTAAACCGAGAACTTTTCAACACAGCCTCATATAGCAAAACGTATAGAATAAAAGAAATTATTTTGTGTATTATTATTATTATTATTATTATTATTATTATTATTATTATTATTATTTCTTTAGATTTCTGTTGTATACACATTTTCTTCCGTGTCCCAACCAGAGAGCTAACGTCAGAAATGGCATCATGACAGTTTTCACTGATCATTTTATTATTATTATTATTATTATTATTATTATTATTATTTCTTTTGATTTCTGTTCTATACACATTTCTTTCTGAATCCCAACCAGAGACCTAAGATCAAAAATGGCTTCAGGAGATTTTCAACTGATCATTTTATTATTATTTCCTTTGATTTCTGTTCTATACACATTTCTTTCTGGATACCAACCAGAGACCTAAGGTCAGAAATAGCATCATGATATTTTTCACTGAGCATTTTTGTAAAAAAAAAAAATAAAAATAAAATAAAACCTCACAGATCACACACATTTTACATCGATAAAGCTTTTCGTAATCTGTGAGTTGAAATTGTGAGTACAATTTTTTGTATCTCTTTAACGCAAGTGCTACCAGGAATCCCTTCATTAAGTCTATGGGAACCTTTTCTAATCAATCCAAGTGCTCCACCTTTAACTGGAATTATTGATGACCACATGTGTCACGTTTTTGAGATTTTCTCTTCATTATCCTTGTATTTTGATATTTTTTTTTTTTAAAGATCTTCAAAGATATATGACAATCTGCAGTAACTACCATTTCAATAAGAAAGCAAATTCTGTTTTAGTAGCCTTTAATTAAAATGACTGGGCGATTAATTTTGATTCTTCTCTCTGTATGTATTGTAAATTCCTATAAAATTGTTACAGGTCCTATGTCTATTGTAAAGATCCATAAAACTTGTACAGGTCCTAACATCATCATCATCGTCATTATTATTATTATTGTTTTTATTTCCTTTGATTTCTGGCGTGTACACATTTCTTTCCGAGTCCCGCCCAAAGACCTAAGATTAAAAATGGCATCAGGATACTTTCCACTGACAGAAAAAAAATAATAATAATAATAAAATTTTACATAGACAAAGCCCTTCATAAAGTGTGTGCTGGACTTGTGAGAACAATTTTCATATTTTTCTCAGGCATGGACTTCCAGAAATGCCTTCAATTAATCTACTGGAATCTTTTCCAACCAATCCTAGGGCTCCAATTACAAGAGGGATTGTTGATGTTCCCATGTGCCACATTTTTATTATTATTATCATTATTATTATTATTATTATTATTATTATTATTATTATTATTATTATTTATTAATCAGTTCCCTATGACGGAAATTATGTGAATATGATACCAAATAAAAAACTGCTTCAGATATTTAAATATAATATGAAACTTTCTTTTTTACTTACAGTTCACCTAATAAAAGGCTCTAGATCACTGAAGGTAGAGGGGTGCCGAATATGTTAGGGAAGAAAATGCAGATTATGAGAATATGTGGGACAGATAAAGGTTGATTTTAGACATGTTGAGGTTCAGATTTTAGTGATCGGGGAAGAAACCTCTAGGGAGTCGGTTCCAGAAAGTAGACCCTCTTGGCAAGTAGCTCTCCTGGTAGGACAATCTTTATACACAGCTGGACCATGAAAGGAACGAGAAAGATTTGACACTGTGTATGGCGAATAACCGGTCTGTAATGATCTGATCTGGTGGATGAAAATAATGTAAGTCGGGTGAACATTTACTATGGAAATAGCGACAGTGTAGCAAGAAGCTTGCGAAGTTTCGTCTATTTAAAACGCATGTAGGGTTGGAAATAACACGATTTGTTAACATTTAGTACTCGATCCTACCGACCTAGGATGGTCAAGCAGATCAGTTCCTATAAACCGACAGCCTGACACAAGCACATGAGATTTAATTATAGTGGTGAAGGTTTGAGTAGCACAATCCACGCTTTTATCTATCTATCTATCTATCTATCTATCTATCTATCTATCTATCTATCTATCTCTCTCTCTCTCTCTCTCTATATATATATATATATATATATATATATATATATATATATATATATATATCAGTTCACTCATATTCATTATCTATCTATCTATCTATCTATCTATCTATCTCAATCTGCTCATATCTATCTATCTATCTATCTATCTATCTATCTCTCTATATATATATATATCAGTTCACTCATATCTATCTATCTATCTATCTCAATCTGCTCATATCTATCTATCTATCTATCTATCTATCTATCTATCTATCTCTCTCTCTCTCTATATATATATATATATCAGTTTACTCATATCTATCTATCTATCTCAATCTGCTCATATCTATCTATCTATCTATCTCAATCTGCTCATATCTATCTATCTATCTCTCTCTCTCTCTCTCTCTATATATATATATATATATATATCAGTTTATTCATATCTATCTATCTCAATCTACTCATATCTATCTATCTATCTATCTATCTATCTATCTATCTATCTATCTATCTATCTCAATCTGCTCATATCTATCTATCTATCTATCTATCTATCTATCTATCTATCTATTTATCTATCTATCTATCTCAGTCTGTTTATATCTATCTCGCTAAGTCCCTTGTATTATTTATGTGTCTGTATATATATATATATATATATATATATATATGTGAGTGTGTGTGTGTGTATGTGTATGCGCGTGCTTGTGTGTATGTGCATGTCTGTATCTGTATATAGGTCGATAGGAAGCGAGATGTAGAGAGACAGATATCTACTTTCTCCTGAAATATTACCACATTTATTGACCAATCGTCTTCTGAGCATTTCTCCTTCCCTCTTGTGTTAGAAACATTCTTCCCATCCATTAAACGATCGCTTTTTTTTTTTTTTCACAAGCAGAACCTTTTTATCCTCCGAGTCGCCCTTTCTTCCAGCCAGCTAAATCCATTCTCTTCATTTGCGTACTCACTCCCCGACTCCACGTTTTGCTATTTCTCATACTCTCGCTTTTCATTGGTCCCCAGATAA